TGGCTGCGGCGACAAAGTCAAGCAGGGCCCGTTGTCTCTGTCAATATATTCCTCCGGATATACTTGACTTGCATGCGAGTTGGGCGTGCGCATAGATAAAACGCGCGGCACGTCCACGGCGTATCTGTCGCAAGCGGCTTTTGTCGCTTAACAAGGGTGCAGCGCGCAAACGACAGCGATGGTGACACGACGGCGGCAGGAATTACGTGAATTTACTCGCGATCGTATAATGGGACTGGGAGAATGCATTTCCCGCATTCCCCGAAGTTAAATTTCTTTCGCTACACCATGCGAATAACGCACGCGTGTATTTCGATGTATGGGCTCGTTTAATATCTTTAGTACTGAAATGACTTTTAACGTTACAGACTACGATATGAATCAGCAGGATCTTTGTTATATAGACACTTTAAAGTAAATATTTTTCTTATATTATTAATCTTTCGAGAGAATCGATTAAAGCGCTTACCTAATTAGAGATATTCATTGCACTATTAAAATTTTATTTAAACCGCGAATATATCCGCAAATATATACAATGTATAGTAATTTTCACAAACGATAAGTAAACGATGCCGTATCGACTTAAAGAAGTCACTTGCACAAATAAATCGATTCTTAAGCGGAAAGAAGGATCGAAATTCTCGAATTGATTGGTCGCGATAACATATCGAAGGAAAGCGATGCCAAACCATGGTAAATAAGCGAACCGGCTACTCTTTTTGGTCCATTAGTTTTTATCGCAACGCCCAGTATGTTCGCCTACAAGCAAATATGTGTGACGCAAATGCGTGTAGTACGTTACACGCGTGTGGTATCGCGTATGCTTGCCATTGGCGTAACGTCGCTGTTTCCTGCCTATCCCGCTGCACAAACTTGCTATAATGTTGGCTATAAAAGATAACGCGGTGCACCTCGTTATAAACGATGACAAATAAGAATAACGGGGGACTGGTAGGATTAATAAACTAGTAGAATGGTAGGTCCGGACGAGGGTGAATGGGATCAAAGAAAAAAAAATACTTGCGTCTTAAGAAAATTATAGCGGACGTGACAGAATTATTATAATTATTTCCTGGCGATTAAAAGAGTTGATAAAATCAGTTGTGCGAAACATGTGAAAATAGATCCAATAATTTTTATAACAAAAAATTATTTTATCGATTAGACTTTATCACAGGGAATACTAATTATATGCATTGTATGTCGGTTTATCGCTATGTTCACTTTTAGTCTCTCTGGATCAGTCGATTTAAATTATTATCTCTTAAACGATTCACATCGCGTTAGATATGAGTTTTCGTATAATTTTCTTAGATGAAATGCAATTTGTGTCTCTTACAGGCTCGTTATCGGCATCGAGCGCCGAGATAATCCGATTTTATCCATACCTTGCGTTACTTGTTATACAGTTAAAAAGAGATCTCGTTATTTACGAAGATAGTTCTTGCGCATATATTCTTACATCAGTGATATATTTGAGAGCGTCTAGTGTTCTAATTTGTATAAATCTAAAAACTGAATTTTTAATTGCTACACATTAAATTAATTATAACATATCCTGTGCTCGATTTGACCTCTTTAATGAAATTATTTTATAATGAACAATGAACTAGATTTTGATTCCATTATATTATTCTTTTCTATTGTATCGAATTTTACACAGTAAGAGATCATAAAGCTTTCAAAATACATATCTGATGGGGAGAAAATGAAACGTATATAGATTGTATTTTATTACAAAATTGAATTTTAAATTTGAATTGGTCAATTTTGCTCCTGGCGGTAAAAATACGCGAGTCCTGAAATATATAACTTCCATTTCGATAGTTAATATCGGATAAACTAATATGTAACGTGTACACATCTTTTCTTGCTTTTTAAATTTAATTGATTGCGCAAAATAAAATTATTGAAAACTGAAATTTTAAATGTCCGGCAGCGCGCCTCGAGGGGACCCTGGATAGTCATAAATACGCCATTGCTACTCATCGTATACATATATGTTACGCGCACGCATCACACGCGCGTTCTCGTGTAACCATTAATTAGATTAGCATATGTCGGAAAAAGATGCTGTCCGCGCACGTAATGCGTCCGCCTATATCCATTGGTGGGGAAGATGCTATTATCTCGACGGTACGTTAACGGCATTATGGGATATCATCCGTCGTCGTCGATTGCAACATTTCGCGCGCGCGCGCGAGACATGAGTAAAAATAAAACCGACTGACGTGATGATCGAGTATGCTGGACTATTTTCCGCTTCGCAGATGCACTAAATCGATATTTATACCGAATTCTCGTGCAGAGCATGATGATACTTCGTTCGTCTTTACATTACGAAAAAAATAACAAGATCAACGCAAATTGCAATGACGTTTCTTCTCTTTCTTTCTTGAGCTATTTTGCGAAATTATGTATCAATAATAGAGAAACTTTAAAAAGAAAATCATTGTTTGTTGCAATTTTCTAATATTTGTCTTTATCGACGTATCTTTTGACAATCAAATCTTTGGGTTAAAATTTTGAACTTGTAGAATCAATTTAACGTTGCATTAACAACAAACCCGTCATTTATTTTACATTTAATTATACAATTCAATCGTCAATTCAATTTTCACCAAGCTTTTTATTTTCGATTACAATGCGAAAACAAGTGGCGTCTCGGCATATCCCGATTAAAAAAAGAATCTACTTTCAATTTAAAAAAGACTTTCTTTATATATCCCGGCATATATTGTATACGCGAATCGTACTTTAAAGCCCGCAGGTTGTACATAAGAGCTCTCTTCCCTTATATATGCGATCAAGGTGCTTTTGCGCGCGTACACGAGACACATAGGCAAACATATAATGCTCGTGTGTATCCGCCGGAATGCAACGGCCTAGGTGAAATTCCTGGCTCCGTGCCAGAGACTTTAACCTCAATTTGCAATAAAACACACACGGGAGAGCAGAAGGTGGATTCTTCCGCCCGGACGCGCGGCGAGTCTCGCAGGTCCTCGCTCCCTTTTCTGCTGCAAAAATACGAAGGGAGAGTCGGAAAAGAATGACTTGTGTATCGTACGCACGCGAGGTATGCCGAATAAATTTTTCGGTAACATTAGTTTGAGAAATTCCTCCTGACTTGGGTCATGACTTTAACAATCTTTTTTCTTTGTCGCGCTCATAGGTTGCAAAAACGTTTTTTAAAATCTAAAAATCGGTGACAATATTGTCAAATGTGTTCGTGAGTAATTGTAATTGAAATTTTTAATTATATATATAATGTACAATATTATTGAATGTATTTTTATTAATACAAATATCGAACTAAATTTATTATAACAGATTATGAAATAATTTTAGGGGAATTAAAATCAAGATTTCTTCGTAACATATTGCCATAAATTGAAAATAAAATTAGCCATAATTAATAAATGTTTGATAAGATATTGAATTGTCGCAAGATGATCATTACATATGACAGAAAGATATTAAATCTCTGAAGTTTCTTTTATTTTTATATTTGTGTGTGTGTATTGTGTAACATATCACGATACATATAATATAATATATATAATTCCACCGATAAAGATATTGATAGGCGAAAAAAGATTCCAATACCTCAAGTGTTGTATCCTAAAGGAAACTTAAGGTGTAAAAGAATTTCAGTAATTTAGCAAAGCACTCAAGGCTTAACTTTATTCTTGCGGAACTATAGGATTTTATTAAGAAATGCCTGGAATACCTTGGCACTGGATTCTTGTAATTTAGTCTGCATTTATCCTCATGTTTTTTTCTTCGCTATATTACATAAATTAAGTTTTTCTTAATTAAAATATCGAAGAGATGATTTTCGAGTTACAAGTTGTCGAAGATAAAGAGACTTTTCATCAAAGAGATATGATTTTTGAATTGTCGAAGATAAGAATCTTTCTCTCAAGTTAGACTTTCGGAATGCGATTGGCAAAACTTTATTATTCATTTAGATTCAGATTTTATTTCTCTTCACAATGTCGATTTGTATTTAATTGCGAAATTTTTGCTGGGAAACATTCGGCTCCAAGTTCGTCGTGAAATCGATCGTTAAAATTTAGGTCGTCGTCACTGGGACACGGCGTGTACAAGTGAAACGCTCGCTCGCGTTTATCTCAAAGCATGCTCGCAAGTTCCCGTTTATCACCGCGGTAATAAATGCGGCAGTTAAAACAAAGACGGTATAAACTCTCCCGTCGTTCCTTCCGCGCTGTTCCTCCTGGGCCAGCGGCTTTACGAGCGGCAACAAAGAGCCGAGACTGACATTACGATTATCTGACTGCGAGTATGTATATATGTATGATACGTATGTACATATGTAATGCGAGCAAGGACGGATAGCGAAAGACGACGTTGCGGTAAAGAAACAGAGACCCCGAAATCATCGAGACTCCATAAAATCGCGGTCGGCTGCGCGATGATACCGTCATGACGAAACTCGCGCGATATCACAGACGACATGCTGCCAACGACTCGAAAAGACGTAGTAAATGGCTTTTATTCACGCCTTACGATCGAGATGTTCAATCGTGTCTCATGGCATTTCTGCTGCGTAAAATGCACACGCGATCGTCCAATGTTGTATTTACGTGGCGCTTTTAGTAAATGGATATTAATGGATATTAATAACGGTACGAATATCTTCTGAGCGGAAAGGAAACGATCGTAATTTTTATTATTTTTATAATGTTAGTACATTTTATTATTTTATTTATTTTTATATAGACACATATTCTTATTAAAAACAAATAAAGACGATTGATTAATCTTTGAACAATTGGAAAACATGAATATATGCCTAGAATAAAAATGAAACGTAACTAAAAATTTCGATTGTTCACTCAGACCTATCTGTGAATTATTTGATATACTATATATATATATAAAATATTTAGTAACGTATTACAAGAGAAAATAAGTTTTGAATAATTAAAATAAATTAACTTTATTTTTAACAAGAGCATTATATTTGTTTTTAGCCCCGACCTGGAAGAAGGCCTCGAAGACGACCGGGAAACGCGGCGCAGTTACAGGCAACTCCGAGGGTACAAAGTCCGATATCTCAGCATCTCGAAAAAGGTAAGCGGCCTCTTTATGTCTTATTCTAATTTCAAAATTTCTTCTATGAAATGTCGAGATATGCGTGATTATGATCTTTCGCACAATTTCTCTTTTCTTAATTACTTTATTATTGAGATTGTATGGGATTGTCAGATTTAGAAAGTCCGCGAAATATATGCAAATTGCAAAATACCGCGCAAACGTAATTGACTATCGTCCGTGAGAAATCAGATGATCGTATCTTGTCAAAAGTGACATGTATTCATACATAAACATTTATTAATATTATTATAAGTTTATGCGAAAGAAATGTGCAGAGAATAATGTAACTCGAGTAATCAAATATATTAACATCTCTAAAATAAAGTTGCGAAAATTCAAATTTCTCGACTCGTGTATTCGGATCTTTCCATGGACGATAGTCAAATCTAACAGCGAGGGGAGAACTTCGCTCTTTGGAATGACTGAAAAACGATAATCGTGAATGGCATGCCATTTGAAATTGAGATTTAATAGGAGCGTAAATGGAGTCGAACTCTCTGCCACGCGGAGCTTTCGGTTGCCCGAAATTCATTAGTCGGTTCGCGGAATGTCTGCCCTGCTAATCTCGCTTCTAGTTTGTCCAGAAGTGCTCGCGCGTTGATGAATACAGTTTTAATCGTGTTCCGAAGGCAGCGAACTTTCGGAGAACGAAGAGCTCGTAACATTTCCCGAGTTTTCTTCAACTTCATTGAGACGCGAACTTGAAGCAGGCGCGGCGCCTGCACCGATAAATCTTTTTAAAGTCGACAAACCGATGCGCAATCGGTCGCTCGATACTCGGCCCGGGCTTGCACAATCGAGACAGCTGTTAATCGTTATCGGATAGTAAAAACTTATCCGGCGTTCTCGGTTTCCGATAGCCGTCGCACCACGGTATTACTTGGCGTGCCATTCTTGCCCGTGTGCTCGTCATCGGGGATCGTTTCGCCGATCGATCGGTTCGAGCAATCTCGTCCTCGTCCGTGCGAAAAAAACGAACGAAAAGGGTTCCGATTTAACAATCGGATCCCCGACGTCTCGGGTATCATAATAAAAGCGCGATAAAAGAGCCGTGATATCGCGCTCGCGTCGTGTCGTACATCGGCAAGCACTCGTAAACATCGCCGGTTAGGATGCGGAAAGCACGCGAAACTCGGTTGTTGCTATGACATGTAATATCACAGTGCTCTATCTTGATTCATAAAATGAGGCATTTTATATATTTCAAACTCTCAAATATTTTTTGAACTTTTCATATATTTTTAGGATATTTTTAAAATAGATAAACAAGTTAGGATAAAGTACTCTTTCTTTCTCTCTCTCTTTTTTGACTCGTTTATAATATTATACGGGAAAAGCGATTTAAGAAAATGCGTAATAATGCATAATGCAAAGTTCGTAAAAATATTACGTGGGATTGCGTTACGGGCGAAACGACATCAAAACAGTAATTATAACTCCCCCTCACACCGATGCCAAGGCGGAAGTGTCTAGGCGATCGTGAGCTACCGTCGACCCAGTGTCAGGTCGTCAGTATGATCGATAAAGCGAGGTCAAACGCGGTCGTCGCTGCCGTCGTCGTCGTCCTCACCATCGTTGTCGATAGATGCGCCGAATCGACCCACGCGAGGGTCAAACGAACCGGTGACTCCTCCGTGCAATTTGGCCGCGTTCATTCATGGACTTTCGGGATGCTGCCAGAAACCGGGGCGTTATTTCGAGTGCGAGAGAGTCGACCGAAAAAAGATGTAACACGATCGGACGACGAGATGGTACGAAAAAAAGAACGGTACGAGAGGATAGGGAGGGTTGAGGGTGGGAGAACGGGTTATGGGGAGAGAACGCGAGAAGCGTAGAGCGGGAAGAGAGGAGAAGGAGTCGTATATAGTCGGGACGCGAGAGAAATAAATGGTTCGAGGAACCGGCAGGAACCGGTCCCGCGGACAAAAGACACGTTGCCGGTATCGCCTGAACCGCCGTCGAGCAATTCGTGGGACGAAGAAGGGTGAAAAGAGAGAGAAGAGGAATCGTATCGGGAGTGCGAGACGCGCGAGAGGGCGAAAAGAGGAAAGAGGCTGACTCAGGAGGGAGGAAAGGGTCCTTGTGATTCCGATAGAGGAGGCCGGTAACCTCCCGCCGGCTCTAAAGTCTGTTTTACACGATCTATATATAACGTGCGACAGAATTTTATGTCATCAAATACTTTCATATATAATGTCTATAAAAAAGAAACACGTTGTATTTTTATAATATAAATAATTTTATTACATGGATAATTACATGTAAAAGATGCAATAGATTGATGTAATAAAATCACAAAGTTCCGATATATAATTTCTATGTATAAATTAATACGTATTCTTATAGTAAAATTCTTTACAATTCATTATAAGACAAAATCTCGTGCTCCCTCATTCTATTTATTTGTGAAATAAATAAAATGTCGTGTAAAACAGGCATAACACAGATCGAGGAGCAAGAATTGCGCGGTCTTTGTCCGCGGGGAATTCGCTCTAATCTTCAAGAGGTCGTTTCTTAGCTCCGTCTCTTCAGGCCCGTCGGCCTCGCAGCCTCCCTCACGTCTATTTATCTTCCTTTCTCTCGTTCTCTGGGTTACTCGTGCTCTCATTACGAGCGATCGTTCCTTCGTTCTGTTCTTCTTCCTGATTCGCCGACAAGCCGCCCCTCATTTTGATCGATTACAGTTTCTTTCCATCTTCGACCGCGACCGTTTTCAGGTTCAGATCGTTTGCGATATTTTGCTTTCGTATTTCCCATGACGCCATTCAGGATATATTTACGATACTTTAATAATCTCTAGGGGCAATATATGGATTCCGTCGAAATTATAGCTATAATATCGTGCTAATATTAGTATTAGATAAATCACTGTACTAGAAAAAAAAATTACTTGTGTTTAATACGGCATCGGTATTTTTATCTCCAATATTGATTTAATATTGACGCGCGAAAAATATCAGCTGATTTAGCATAATTGTAGAAGCCTTTGCAATACATATATTATACATATATTATACATATTAATATTATACATCGATTGTCAACTAATATTAATACATTGATTATGATATTGCAAAATATCAATATTAAATACGAACGATAATATGATACGCGCATCGAACTAATCGCGTGATTATGCCGCCAGTTAATTTAAGGAGGAACTGAACAGATCAGTTACATTAAAAGTTAATAAATCTAATATATTTCGAGATTCATGAATTTTTAACATTGCGAAAAAGAATCACACTTTTAGCCTTTTAATATAATTAATATAAAATTTTAATATAAAATAAAGAATTAATTTGTGAATTAAAATAAAGATTTGCCCTGTAGAATATAATTTAATCTCAAAATTGTAAGTATTATCTTACATCGAACTAATCTTTTTATAGCGACTATATACAAAAATTAATGAAAATAAATATTTTAATTCTACAGAGCAAATCTTTACTTCACTCATAAATTAATTATTATTTTTATATTTTAAAAGGCTAAAAATGATGATTAGCGCAATGTCAAATTCATGAATCTTAAAATGTATTAGATTTTTTAACTTTTAAAATAATTGATTCGTCTAGTCTCTCCTTAACGGACCATCGAATGAATTAAATTTCAGTTAGAGAATGTATGTGAAATCGATTGCATCGCGAAATGTTGCTATCGGATTTTCGATTAACGCCACGTTTTTAGTCTAAATTGAAGGATAACAGATTGTCATCGATGAAATTTGCAGCAGCGGAATAATATCCAATTCGAGACGACTTGTGAATAATTCAAAAAGTTTGTCTGTCATTTTGCGCTATCGTCACAGTGAGTTTTTCGCGATTTCGGAATAACACGATGGTTTCTGACTTTATGAAATCAACTGAGATTATTTGCGATGAATATTCTTGAGCTTGCGATTGTCTATTTATTATCTGAATTCAAAAATGTTAAATTTTTCAAATAATTAATTTAAGATGAATTTATATTATATTAATAAGTTTTTGATTATTTAATGCGATTTAGCATTGCAGTGAAATTGTACGAGTCTATCAAGTTTAAGACCGATCTGTCCAATTTTTCAGTTTGGTGTGTGTGTCTTTAATCATTTAAATATTTTTAATCTCATGTGTTATTATTTATAAATATACAAATTTTCATAATTGAGGCGTATCGCTTTTTTTACTGAGCACTATTAAGGCAATCAATTTTTTGAATAACGTCAGTAACATTGATTCGTCATTTATTTGATCATTTTATAATGAATAATCGATACATATTATTCGTAAGAAATAATCTTGAAAGAGTTAGAGGATCGATTTGAGGATCTTTTTTTTTTTTTTTTTTTTTTTTTTTGCTATTTTTCGGAAAATGTTCGCAAACTGAAATCGCCACGCGAACGAAAAGATTCAAAGCCGATCTTTCTTTCCGCATGCGCCAAACCGGAGTGTGCGAACCTCGTGATAATAAAATAACAAGACCCCGCAACTTCTTTGAAGTGGCCTCTCTCGCGGTCGTCGGTATAATTCCTCGCATCCTGGACCCTCCACGACATCCCGCCGCTCTCGCGGTCGGATATTTTTTATTTTTACAAGGGCTATATACGTTGCAAAAATAAACGGCTGGCGTAAGCGCGTGTCGGGTGACACATTGCTGAAAATACAACCTCGAGCCACTGCAGCACACCAAGAGCGCTGATGTCTCACGGTAATTACGTCTGGAAAAATAAAAAAAAAACAATAGAAAAGAGGGAAATATATAGAGAGAAAGAGAAAAAATTTATATTAGTTTTTTATATGATTACAAAGTATTGCTATTATTGAATAATTTAAAAATAAAATCTATATATATATATATATATCGTTTTAATTGTACTTACTGCAGTATGATGAGATATTCTAATAGAAACGATACCGATAAAGATGCGCGCATGACGACACATTTGTATCATTTTATATATACAATTATATTTTAATTAATTTCTGGTTTCCAAT